TCAGACATGAAAACAACATAAGAGGCACTGAGAATCATGTCCCAATTTTGGAAAAAGCATTTCATACAGTATGAAAAGAGTTCAATGTTTATTAAAATAGCACTGGACATTCTGGAAAACTTAAAATATGCCACAGAAGCCTCTATGGTAAAGAGAAGGGAGAAGTTAGGGTTGAGAGGGTGAGGAAGTAAGAGCAGGGTAGAAGAGGCCAGCAGCCCAGGAATTTCCTTGGTACAGGTAGGCTGTGGTCTTTTTCACTGCCTAAGGCTGGGGCCAGAGCCTCCAGGAAAGGCATTGTGGTTAGTCCCAGGTACCCCAGGACAGAAAGGCTCTCTGGTGGAAATAGAAATGTACACTGGAACCATTGCTTCTGAGCCTCATGGTCCTTTCATGCTTTGATAGAGGGAAGGGGTAGAACAACTGTCTAATGGTGGGACTGGGAGAATGATCCCAAAAAGGATGCCAGGCTCCTGAAAGTGGAGTGGAAACGGCTGATATCAGAGGGAGGGGCTAAGACCAGCCCTGTGATGGCTGGAGGAATCCTGGCTAAGTGAGGGAAAAGGAAAAGATAAAAGCCCCAAGGAGAAACCACGAGGATTTGCAGCCCCACTGCTCTGCAGCTGATTGCAGGCAGTCAGACACCCAAACAGACAGACAGACTAAGGTTGTTCTTGGGCATCATGGCTGAGCTCAGGCTACCCTGCTTTGCATATCTCATGAGCATTTTTGTATTTGACCACAGCTGACTAAAGTATCTTTGCTTCCAGAGGATTTGCTAATAGAGATACAACTGCAAGAGAAAGGCAGATACTCCAGTCCAGGCCAATGGGAAAAGCTGAACTTTCACCTTTCTCTCAGAGTTTATGATGAGGTTTGGAATTCAGACTTATGTTCAGAAGACTTTTTCTTTCTTTTTTCACTTGACTTTCCAAAGGATGGCAGGGACCTTAGATGACAATTTTCAAACTAATATTTTCACCAAAAAGGATTAAATAAAAAACAACTAGTAATCTTTCTTTTTATATTTTGGTTTAAAGTTTAGTATTCTCCTTCATGTGGAGGATGACCAGTTTTATACTTTACTGGAAAAAAACCAAAATATGTTTTAATTTTATAATTTACTTTCCCAAGAGCCCATCAGATTTCTCCAAATACTCATCTGGAATATATCCTTCAATTTTTCATGAGACTCTGGACATCAACGGGTAAGACTGTTCCATGACATCATGACACCTTAGCCCAAATACCCTCTCCCGTGGTTGTATTTCCTTCTACAGTCATGTGCTGCCACATCATGTTTCAGTAAAACAACAGATCACATATATAATAGTGGTTTCATAAGAGTATAATGGGCCAGGTGCGGTGGCTCACGCCTGTAATCCCAGCACTTTGGGAGGCTGAAGCAGGTGGATCACCTGAGGTCAGGAGTTCAAGACCAGCCTAGCCAACATGGTAAAACCCCTTCTCTACTAAAAATACAAAAATTAGCCAGGTGTGGTGGTGAGCATCTATAATCCCAGCTACTTGGGAGGCTGAGGCAAGACAATTACTTGAACTCGGGAGGTGGAGGCTGCGGTGAGCTAAAAGCACACCACTGTACTCCAGCCCAGGCAACAAGAGCAAAACTCCATCTCAAAAAAATAAAGTATAATGGAGCTGAGAAACTGCAACACCAGAATAAACAAACTTAACTGCAAACAAGAGAGCCAGGATTTGAACACCCCTGACCCCAGAGCCTGTGTGCTGAGCTACCAAGCCTTTCTGCTCTCACCAGTGTGATATACTAAATGTTCTGGGATCACCTCTTCCAAGCAGCCTTCCTGGCCAGCATCTCCACCCCACCTCCTCTGCTCTGGGTTGCATCCGCCCTTAATGTTCTCATAGCTCTTCATCAATTGTCTCCCAACAGGGACTGCATATCCCTTGAAGACAAGGTCCATGGCTTATTATCTTTATAATCCCAGCACCTCCCATAGTGGCTACCAGAGAGTGGGAGCTTAAGGAGTACTGAAATAAGAGACACCTAGAGAAGATGCCAGAATTAAACATCTATTATTCTCATGTTGAATCTATTATATATATTTATACTTTCATTTTATATAATGGCATTACTATAATTATCCCTTTTACAACATAATATTGATGGCTAATTTAGGTGAATTGATTCTATTTTCAAGTAATTCTGCTAGAGCTCTTTGACTATGGTAGGCAGCTAAAATATTCAAGGTATCAACAGTGGCCAAATGAATAAATAAAAGAAAAATAAAGGTCATATATTAAATAAAGTAGAATCAAATGGTAATTGTTAAGAGTGAAGGCCAAAATGTAACCAACCATGATGAATATTTAAGAGCTCCCATTTTAGCAATCGATGCCTTTCCCCCACAGGAACTCACTATAACGCACTGCTCAGATCCCATTGAAGGGAAGAGTTCCTGTCACCTCTCTTCCAGACTCCCTGTCAAGCCAGGCTTTCTCCTCTTGAAAGCACCCTTAACCCTTGACTTCAGGAGGCTGCTAGCAAAAGTCATGACACAGAGAAAATGTGTACTAGCAGAGTCCTTACTAGGAGCACAAAGTTAGGAGCCCAGCTCCTGAGCAAGAGAACAGAAGAGCATAGTGGTAAATCTTGAGCCTATACCTACTAGCATTTATCTTGAGCAGGTTACTTAACTTCTTCAGGTCTCAGTTTCCTCATATGTAAAACAGAGGTAAAACAGCCCCTACTTCATAAGGCTGCTGGGAGGATTTGGTAAGGTGATGTATATAAAGTACTTCCCACATTACCTGGCACATCGTAAGTGCTCAGTAAATGTCAGCTACTGTGGTCTAGGCAGATTGGTGAGTGATAGCATCAACGTCTCACACAACAGAACCAGCCTGTGGGATAGCTTTAGCACAGGTGCCAGGACTGGAAAACTTCAATCCTCACTGAGTCCTGCAATAATATGTCAAGGGAACTGATATGGTATAGACTGCCTGGATGCAAATGATCAGCTTCTAGCTGTGTGAGCTTAGAAGAGTTTCTTAACGTCATTGTGCCTCAGTTTCCTCATGTGTAAAATGGTGACAATAATTGTACCTGACCCATACATTATCGTGATTAAAGGTGTATTTATATGTGTGTGTTGTGTGTGTACGTGTATATCCATATATATACACACACACACATACTACACATGTATGTGTATATGTGTATATACATATATGGATATACACGTACACACACAACACACACGAAAAAAATATATGAACAGCTTTGGTACAAAACAATATAAATAAGCTGTTATTATTATTATTCCAGGCTACCTTCAGTCTTCACTTTCTACCCAACAGCTCTGTGTTGAAGTAGATAGAGAAATGACATTCTATGTGGTCAGAGGGAAATTTTAAATATCTTCCTACATTTGTTCAAATAAGCTGAGAAATCCTTGGTACTCAGTATTTCTACTGGACAAAGTTGGAGTCCAATATTTCGATAGGACCCTTTCTGTTTCTAAATTTTTCTAACCAGTTTGTGACAATGCACAGGAATTCATATTTTTCCTATAAAAGTCTGGTTCTCCTGCCCCTAAGTGTTTCAGAGAGAGAAAGAAAGAGGTATGGCTCAGAAGAACAGTTTCGTCGGGTAAAAATGGCCCCAGAACTGTTTACAATTCTCATTTGATTACTCTTACCATAGAAAACAAAACAAAACCAAAAAAACAGTTATGAGGACTTTAAATACAACTCATTATATGAAAAGGAAACGGCACAAGTCGCACACAAAACTACTGCATAGTTTCTGAATTAAGTCAAATGAAGTAAGGAAGCATCCAAGATAAGGCTGAAACACACCCTTCCCACTAGTGATCTGTTATTCTCTGATTAAAAAAAAAAAGCAAACAACTGTAATAGAAGCCAACTCTGGGCTATGTGAGGTCCTTGCAAAGGGTACCTTCTCTATTTCCTCCTACCAATATCCACAGCAGTGCTGTACCAAGACATTTCTGCACTGTAGTGCTTTCATAGTCACTAGATCTCTCTCCCACCCCCAGCAGTACCCCCCTCAACACACAGACAATTACATGGATGGTTTGGGGTGAGGGCGAGGAAAGAGAAGACCGAACAGTTTCTGATTCACTGCACACACGGGGTCCTGTTGTAAATACCTGGATACTCAGCAACCACCAGCTCTCCCCGATTATCCCTCCCCAGCACTTGGTTTCCAAACATGGAAGAAAAAGGCCCTCCAAAAGACTGTATCTCAAACTGTCACAACGCCCACCCCATACCCAGCACAATGCAGAATTCATCAAAATCATATTTAACAGGTCCCAGAAATTTCAAACTACTAAAATTTTTCTGGTAGTGCTATCTGGATACATGCCTGTTGCATTTTAAGCTAGATGAGGTAAAATATTTGAAAGAATCCTATATTCTAGCTCTCCTAATATAATATATATCATTTATTATCCAAATTTGCTACATGTCAGAAAGCCACTACTCTGGTGGCAGCTCAGCAGCCTATGGAAAATGAGTCAGGACACTCAGTCTAGTTGCAGACAGCAGATGCCTGGGTCACATATCACCTATACAGTGGACAGCTCTAGAACCAGTGTCCCAGTGAGGCTCAGTCAGTGGCAAGACCAGCCAGAACAGGGAAACCTGTGACCCCGAGTAGTCAGAGTCCAGGAGCAGAGCTGGTGTGGGAGAAAGATTCCAAGGGAGACAACTGATACTAAGGAGTTCATAGAAGAAAAAAGGAAGATTTGGGGCCTGAGGCAGCACACCACCCCAGGGAGCGGACCAGCTGAAGCTCAGTCATAAGGAACAGGACAAAAAACAGTCACCAGTGAGCCACACCAGATCCTTTCAAGAATTAGTGGTGTTTGGATATACAAACACAGATAAATACACCTATGTATGAGAGAGAAACTCTAGTTAAGAAAGTATAGAATTAGGTATCTAGTCTCAGATTTAAGCCTCACAAGCTATGTGACCTTAGGCAAATCACTTACCCTCTCTCAGCCTATTTCAGCAGCTGTAAATGGAGACTTCATCTTTCACACCTGTTGCACAATGTTGTGAGGACCTGATGAAAGAACAGATGTGAACACAGTTTATAATCCACAGTACTCAAGAGCCATAGCAGGGGCTTCTTTTCTTCCTTATTAACATATCTGAGGGATGCTCTGGAAGGATCAGATTCTGTGCAGCCTTTACAAGCCCCCTTTTGCCTTGCAATCTCCTCTCTCTCTCTCTCTCTCTCTCTCTCTCTGAAAATCATTGCTCTAGACCAACAATGAAGCAGACATTTGATTATTCTAAGTTAATACTGGAGGCCTGGATGCCACGAGGCTCACAAATGTGCTTTCTTTAGCCTGTAGTTTGGCCTACACAGGGTACCTCTTCTACTCCTCATGCTCCCCAAAATTACAAATATCCTGTACAACTTCTAATATTTAAAAATCAGTAGATTTCCATAAGGATATAGCTTTATAGCTTTATAGCTTCCCTTGAAAACATCAAAAGATCTAGCAACAATGGATCTAAATTCCCACACGGCAACACTATGCTACAACAGTGGTTCTCAAATCGCCAAAGCGTATTAAAGCAGAGACTGCAAGGCTCCCACTTGAGAGTTTCTGAATCAGTGGGCTGAGACGGGGCTGAAAAATCTTCCATCACAGGTCTCCAGGTGATTCTGATGCTGCAGGTCCAGGGACCCATACTTTGAGAACCACTATGCTTGATCATTGTATGGGCTGCTCCCTTTACATTCGGTGTGAAACTCCCATTTGCCATAGCACCCACCACCTCCTACTGTCAGTGAGACAAGTAAGAATCTGATGTCATTTATCTGGCTTCCTCTGTTGTTTTTCTTACACATGCAAAGCCATGTGACTGACTGAATCTACCTGGCCTCCTAGGCAATTGAGTTAGCAATCTCTGCTCCTTTGAGGCAAGAACTCTGCCTTACCTAATACAGCACTGTCTTCTCTTTCTCCCTCTCTCCTCTCTTTCTCTCTCTCTCTCTCTCACACACACACACACCCCATCCCATGCAAAGTCTTACACACAGCATTTAAATATAGTAATTGATTTTAATTTCTGCCTACAGTCTAAAACTTTCAAGGCCTGAAGATAAGGGACAGAAAGACTTTTAAGCAAGGAGTTTGTGTAGTCATCTCCTCTTATCTAATAGATCCAGAGCTAAGAGCAGGGCCATGCTGCCTCAAATTTCACAGAGGTGGGAGGCAAAGAATGAAACAGATCAATGGGTCAGCCATGAGTTCTCCTGAGATCCACTTACCTAATTAGCTTCTCAATCCTAGTACTTATCCCCAAATCCCCTAAAATGAGCTACCATCCAAGAGTATTATCAACTGAGCAATTCAACAAACTGCCTTCACTGATTGGTTTTGTTATTCACCAGCCTGAGGGCATGGGAGACACCTGGGTAATAACTTTACGTCTCTTCTTGCTTTATTTTCTATGAGCTCATTAATGAACCTGGAACAAATTCTGTGTGTGTTCTGAAATCCACTAAGTAAAGCCACTATGGAAAAGAATATGGAGGTTCCTCAAAAAACTAAATATAGAATTACCATTGGATCCAGCAATCCCACTTCTAGGCATGTATCCACAAGAATTGAAATCAGTATGTCAAAGAGATATCTGCACTCCCATGTTCATTGCTGCAGTGTTCACAATAGCCAAGTTACGAAATCAACCTAAGTGTCCATCAATGGACAAAAGAAAGTGGACAAACTCAAAAGAAAATATGGGATATAAACACAATGATGTATTATTCAAACTTTCAAGAAGGAAATTCTACCATTTGAGACAAAAAGGATGAACTTGGAAGACATATATGCTAGGTGAAATAAGCCAGGCATAGAAAGATAAATACTGAATAATCTTACTTGTATGTGGAATATAAAAAAGTTGAACTTATAAAAGGAGAGAATGGTGGTTACCAGAGGCTGGGAGTCTAGCGAGTGGCTGAGGAGATGTTGGTCAAAGGATATACAAAGTTAGACAGGAGGAATAATTTTTTGAAATGTATTATACAATAGCATTATTATTATGTATTATTAACTATAGTTATAGCAATGTATTTTATATATCAAATTTGTCAAAAGAATATATTTTAAATGTTCTTAATAGAAAAAAATGGTAAGTGTGTGAGGTTATGGATATGTTAATTCACTTGGTATAATCATTCCATAATGCATACATATACTGAAACATCATAATGTACCCCATAAATATATACAATTATTATTTCTCAATTAAATATGAAGATTTAAATTTTTAAAAATCTACCAAAATGCAGGACAGACTCTTTCCCTTGTCCACTCCCAACTCACAAGACCTATCTCTGTTCCTTGGACCAAAGCCATGGTTTGTGTAAAATGACCCCAAATTTAACTTCCATGAAGAGTTTAAATGTTTCTCTTCTCAACAGTGAAATTGGCAGTTCATTCTAGAAACTCTATAAAAGATACCAGTCATTAAGACAAACAAATTTTATCCTTCTTTCATGGGCTAACAGTGAATGAAAAGAGGGATACACCAAGGTAATTTGTGAAGGCTTGAGCACAAGTCTTGAAATTAAAATATTCTTCAAATGTGATCAAAAAGGAAGAAGCATCTAAATTAACTGATAGAGTCCTCTCCTGCACTGTCAAAAAGTAGCTTCAGAGCAGTATTATTACTTTATGGAAAAGGGCCCGGAGGCCTATTACAACTTCCCAGGATTATACAGTTATAATCAAAGACAGAGATGAACTCATTCTCAAATCCACAGCCTCAAAACCAACCATCATCATTATCCACACGCCTTGTATCAAGGACATACCTTCTCCACAAACTGTCTCCAAAAAGCTTAAGGACTCAAAGGCTGAAGATGGCTCAAAAACAAAATGGAGCATGATGATTACTCCTTAAAACAAGGAGAGAGAAACAGAAAATTAAAACATAGTGAATCAGAGAAAAGACACGCAAACACACTTTTACAGTGACAAATCATTCCCAGCCCAGACAGACTTTGCTTTAGTCTAGTTGAATGTAATAACAAATTCCAAGAAAGAATAGATCTCTCAGAAGGAGATTGGGAAGTAGAAACAAAGGTAAAAGAGTCTCAGACACAAGTTTTCAAAGCCCATTAAGCACCCCCAGGGAGAGCCTTGGCCAAGCATCCCAATCCTTAAAGAACAGAGATGCCTAAAACCTGTGAATTCCAGGAAAGCCAAAAGGAAAAGACTAACAGATTTGACCACATAAAAAGCAAACACTTCTATAAGGTAAAAGACCCCATAACAAATTCAAAAGGTGAATGAATATAGACAAGGAGAAAATATTTGAACCTATGTCAGAAAAAGGGTTAATATTATTTATTATACTACAAACATCCCTCCACATACACACATACCATACCCTCCACCAAAAATGATCAAGGACAAACAACCCAACAGAAAAAATAGACAGGAGAGGAAATTCATAGACAAATCATGAAACAGGAAATGCAAACATCCCAAAAACATGCAGAAAAATTCACAATCTCACCTGTAGTCAGGAAACATGCAAATCAAAATAAAGATGTATTGTTTTTATTGATCACACAGCTAGGTGGAAAAAAAAAAAACTAAAAATATCAGCATCACTCCGGACTGGTAGGAATATAAGGAAACAGATATGCCTCTATGTTGCTTGGGCTACATAATCCTTGGAATATAATTTAGCCATGCCTAATAAAAATAAGTATGTTCTTTGATCTCAAATCCCTCTTTGGAGAAGTGCATATTGAGGTTATGCAGTGCCAAAAAATAACCTCAACATTCATCAACAAGAGAAATAATTGAATAAATTCCAGACATCCATATGAATATTGTGAAGTTATTAAAAAGAACAAAAATAGCATTAATTTGGGAGATAGTAAAAGGCAGTGGTAGCACTTTGGACTCAAAAGCCAGATTGCCCAAGTTCCAGTTGCTGTTCCCACAATCACTAGCTGTGAGACCTTGGGCAAATTAATCACATGTCAGTTCCTTATCTACTCACTGGGGACAATAGTGCCATGGTAGTTGTAGGGTAAATGAGGTGAAGCAGAGGGTCTGGCATGCAGCAAGTGCTAGAGTGATGTCCATGAGATTCTGTTGGGAGACAGAGAGATGGCACAAAATGAATAGCATGAATCTATTTAAGTTAAAAAAAATTGTTTTATACAGTGGACTCTGTGTGTATGGGTATGGTGTTGGTGGTGAGAGGAAAGGATAAAGTTTTAACCTTTTCTTTCCACATCTCTCTGTTCTTTGGCTTGTTACAAAGAACATGTCTTGCTTTTGTCATTTGGAAAAATGATTCAATAACATTTTTTGGAAGTGGGGTAGATGAGCATGATTAAAGGCATAATTAAAGATGGGGAGTGAATCTGGAAACCGACAAGTTTGGTGTGTCTGGAGCACAGGCCATGTGATGTACAGCAGTAGGATATAAGGATGGAGAGTACATATAAAGGGTCGTGTGTTCAAGGGAGGGAGTGTAGACTTTAGCCAGATATTCATGGAAAGTTCTTAGGAAGAAAGGAATGCAAAGTATCAGCTGTGCTCTGGTAACCTGAAAAACAGATTCCACCTCCCCACTGAAACAAAACTTTCAGTGGCTCCTCTTTACTCTGTATAGGGATAAAGTCCAAACCTAAGTCCACGAGCCTTATCTGCAGCCTTCTCACCTCACCCTCCAGCTCTTCACTACCACCGTGCTCAGCTACCTGTGTTTCTTAGAAAACACTGCCCTCTCCACGTCCAGACCTTGGTTCAGGTCACAGCTTCTACACACAGTGCCCTTCCTCCTCATGCTGCGCTAACTCCTCAGAGCTCACCTCAATCCCCTAAGGCTGTTTCCCATCTAGATCCTCCCAGATTACACCAAGATTATGCTTAAAAAATACTTATACATTGATTTATAATTGTCAGCTTATTGTCAGCCTCCCCAACTAGACTGCAAATCTTTAAGAACTGGTACTTGATATGATTCCCTGTTGACTCCTCAATACCCAGCACAGAACACAAAGGATAGAGATCTTGAAGTATTTGTGAAATAAATGAATGCTTTTAAATACATGAGCCATCTAACGAATTTCCCTTTCTAGTATTCAATGTTTTTCAAAAAGCTTTCTGATTTAATTCACTATCCTATATATCTCAGCCCATAGGCAGAAATTTTTCAACACATCATATCAGTGCAACTCTGAGTCCATGTGACAGTTATATTGCTCATTAGAAACTAATAAATTGGCATAGGGATTTTATATGTCACTCTTGTAACTCAGTTCATGAAAGTTCTTTCCTGGAGAAAAAAAATTTCCATGTGCTGGCAAAAGCAGATTTCTTAGCATTCAAAACGAAGGGCCACAACTCTGAACTATGAAAAATTAGTATGATGAAAGGCCTTTTCTGGGTACATCTGGGCCTTGATTTAATAATTTATTCAGCAAATATTTAGTAATCCCCACCAAATGCCAACCTTTGTTCTAAGCTTTGAGGATAGACCAGGAAACAAGACAGAAAAGCTCTACCACCATGAAATCACATTCCACATTCTACTAGGGGCTAACAGAGAAACAGATAATAAATATGTAAAAAATAAGATAATTTCAGGTAGTGCTAAATGCTATGAAGAAAATTAAGCAGGACAGAGAATGATTAAAGTTGGGGGAGAGGAGATGAGAGCTCTTTAGACAGGTGGTCAGGATAAGGCTTCTCAGAAGAGAGGATATTTGAGCTGAGACTTGAGGGATGAGAACAAGTCAGCCAAGAGAAATGGGGTAGAGAATTCCAGACCTAGAGGAAGAGCAAATGCAAAATCTCTAAGGTGGGAATGAGGTTAGAGTATTCAAGCAAAGACAGAAAAGCAATATGACTGCATAATAATGAGCAAGGAAGGCAATTTGAAAGCAATCAAAGGGAAGGTATAGAATAGGTCATATAGGCCATGATAAGGAGTTTGAATTTTATTCTAATTGCAAGGCAAAGACATTAGTGAAGTATAGGAAAGGAAGTGATAGGTCTGATTTGTATTGTTAAATGGCTAATAACAGAATGAACTCTGAGAAGACAAGAGTGGAAACCAAGACGCCAGTCAAGAAGCTGTTGTCATGGTTCAGATGAGAGCTGCTGATGGCAAGCACTAGGATAGTAGCTATAAACATGGTAGGTGGTCAGTCAGATTTGGGATAATATCTTGGAGGGCCAATGGAACTTGATAGATTGGATACTGGAAAGAAGAGAAAAAGAAGAATCAAAGTTTTAATCTCTTGGTTCTCTCATCAGAAATTTCTACACCTGCATACCGCTAAAAGTCAATTGTTCTAATGCAGATCTTTCATTCAGCAACCATCACAATGTAAAGCTAGTCAAAATTTCTGCTTCTGCATGACAATACTCAAACTACGTGTGCCAATTTATTACAGAGGATTCAAAAACAGTCTATTTTGCATTAAACTAAGGCTCTTAGCTTCTGAGGGGTTTTTTTGTTTGTTTTTTGCAATCTGAAAAGCAGCTCATTTTCTAAAGACCCAAGTACTTACAAAACAACATCAATTTGTATCCCCTTTAAAAAGCACCATTTCTATATTAGAGATCTATAGGCACATAGCTTCTATTACAGTAATCACTTCTTTATTTTGCTTTTTAGTCTTATTTTCTCATATGATGGCCGTGTTTCATATCACAGTTTTATGAACGTTAAAAGTAAGGCTTAGCGGGCCGGGCGCGGTGGCTCAAGCCTGTAATCCCAGCACTTTGGGAGGCCGAGATGGGCGGATCACGAGGTCAGGAGATCGAGACCATCCTGGCTAACACGGTGAAACCCCGTCTCTACTAAAAAAATACAAAAAACTAGCCGGGCGAGGTGGCGGCAAAAAAAAAAAAAAAAAAAAAGTAAGGCTTAGCAAGCCAGACCGCTTACAGCACAGGTAGAAACAGAATGGCAAGCTGGCTTCCTTAGAGTCAATCCTTAATGTATTCATTCATCTTCTGTGAAACTCCAGCAATAGTGAATCTCAAAGAACTAACTGTTTAAGGCTGTAGAGCTATTTTCTTTCTCCTGAACCTAACTCTTTTGAAGCTTTATATATATTGCTCAGTAACAGACTCTTAGAAAACAATATTTTGAAAATATAATTACTATGTACAAATCTATGAAATGTATATAAAATATTATTAAAGGGAAAAAGCAGGATTGAACATACCCTCATAGCCAAAAAGAACTTAGGAAAATTCACAGTACTTATTATATTAATATGTACAGTACTGTTAAGGACTGAGGGTATTTAGGGCTTGGAAGTAAACCACACTCCTCTTTCCCATCAAGGTATAAACCACAATGAGAGACTGCATTGGATACTGGAGAGAGGAGAAAATAAAGAATCAAAGTTATGATCTTTTGGTTCTTCTCATCAGAAATTTCTGCACCTGCAAGCTGCTAAAAGTCAGTTGTTCTACTGGAGAACTTTCAGTCAGTAATCATAATGAAGTAAAGCTTGTCAATATTTTGTATATGTTGCATAGATTTGTACATAATTCAATCCAACACAAAAGAGTAGACAGTTGAAAACTACTACGCCTACTGATAAAGCTGATGCTGGAGACTGCCTGGCAACAATGGGCCTCCCAACATCAAACTGTAGGATGAGGCAGGCTTACACTGAGGTGCTAACTGGCAATGCAGGGCAATGGCAATCCTCCCCTCCCCTCACTCCACAGGCCTATCCCTGTAAAATCTGCAGCACAAAGAAATAGGCCAGAAGGCATGATTCCTGAGAGAAGCCTGGCCCTAAAAGTAAGACTGGCCAAAGAGGCCAAGGTTTCTCACGAAGTTTCTCACCATCAGGTATCTTACTTCATGGAGAAGAGGAAGGGATGACCCAAGAGGCCAGGAGTGTTAACAGGAACCCCTGTAACTACATCACATTCCCCACTCAATTTTATTCTCTTAACTTAGTAGTCTTCACACCGGCGTAAGTCTACCCTGGGATTCCATGACTACTTTCTAAGGAGAATACAGGCATAGGAAATTTTAAGGAAATGTATTCCTTTATTCAACTTTCACCTATTCTTTCCCAAAATTGAGCTGCCTGAAACATGACTGAGGTTGAGATGTCACATTAATTCTATTTTTACAACTCCCTTTAAAAATCATTCTTTAAGCTTCAAGTCAGTGACAAGTTAAAAAAAAAAAAAATCATCTTTTCCCACTTATAAAAGACAGGCATCTTCTTACCCATCCCAGATCCTTCTATAGCAAATTGCTCTAGTGTGCAAAAAAACCTCTAAGGCATACAAAGGAACAATTCCAAATACTGTCTTGAAATCAATATTTGATTTAATCAGGGTATAAGAAACCTACATGAGGATTTCCTGGCTTTCCTCATATATATTTCTGTTAAGAGAAAAGCATGGTGCTAGAAATTGGGTATTTTGGTCTATGTTGAGGTATTCTGAGTGTAGATACACTGGGGCAGGGCAGGGGCTGTGCTAATTTTTGTCTAATGCTATTTCCTCTTCCATTTCCTGACGATGTCAAAGAACGCGGTTGAGAGAGCAAACAAAAATACTAAAGGAGATTGTACCCTACAATCTCCAGATAACAAACTCACAGTCAGTTTCCAGACTCCACATATATATCTCAGAATTCGGATATGCAAGATTGGTGAAAATCATTCTGGGAAATACCAATTAGCTACAAGGCACATCTGCTCTGGAATGAGAGCATTTGATGTAAAATTTCATTCTCCTGTGTCTCAGTTGCAAATTCCAAATGATTTCAAGGAAAAGAATGTAAAAAAATTCCAAATTTCCTTTCAATAGATCAGTGTCACATGAAAAAGGAACATATATAACTAGAAAGTTAATGTTTCTTATTTTCTTGAATAGATATTCAGATCTTAGGAGAAAATATTCTAATTAACTTTTGTCAAAAGATTGAATACAGTAAATCTATATTCATTTTTTTACCCAAGTATGTCTGCTCACTGTTATTTGCTAAACATTTCTCACCTCATTATTAATTCCTACCATTCATGTAATAGATTTAGATACATTCTTTTCTATTGTAAACAACACATTTAACAACAATCATTTATTTGTTTTTGTAAGCCCTACACCTAATTATCTTCCAACATATTTTCCCATTTTGTTGCCTAGCAAAAAGTTGTATTTACCTATAAATACATGAACTAATTGAGGAGAGGGGAGCTCCATTCACTTCACTGAGAGATACATTTCCAACAAAATTTTAGTTCTCTTTAGTAATTATTTGTAAAAATTTATAATGTAGGCATGATTGTGTACTAACAATAATTGTAATTATAATTCAAAATAAATTTTTGCCACTTTGAACCTTATAGTCATAGGAATTTTTTTTAATTACAAACTTTTTTTTTTTTTGAGACAGTCTCTCTCTTGTCATCCAGGCTGGAGTGCAATGGCATGATCTCAGCTCACTGCAACCTCCACCTCCCAGGTTCAAGCAATTCTCCTGCCTCAGCCTCCCAAGTAGCTGGGATTACAGGTGTCCACCACCACATCCAGCTAATTTCTGTATTATTAGTAGAGACGGGGGTTTCACCATGTTGGCCAGGCTGGTCTCAAACTCCTGAGCTCAGAGGATCCACCCACCTCGGCCTCCCAAAGTGCTGGGATTACAGGCGTGAGCCATCGTGCCTGGCCTATAAATAACTTATTATTGTGGAAAATAATAATAGAGTAAGCAATAAAATACATTTGGGCACAAAATATATTAAAATAAATTCTGTTAGGGAAGTAGAATGAAAATACAAATTCAAATAGGAAAAGGCATAATGTAAAATTTCTGTGAAAATAAATGATGGTGAGTATTCCTCTTCTATGGATTTAGATTTCATTTAGATTGCATTTTAAGTAACATAATCTTTTTTATTTTAAAATATTCACATTTATATTACGCAAAAAATTACATGTTTTGCAACTAGGGTCACAATATTTTACATGTCAACTTAAAAACTATTTTAGGGATGTGTCAGCAAAAGTATGAAGACCATTACCTTAACCCTGTGGGCTTATCCACTGAGATCAGGTTGGGATACGGTTATTTCCTAGGGTGAGAAGTCAGCAATCAATTGGAGTAATCCTGCTCCCATCCTCATGAGACCACTTCTCCAATACTGATTTCACCTGTTTTGTAGGACTTCCTGGGGCCACTAGTAAACTGTAGAGTCTGTCCCCAAAATGCCCTGAATGGGTCAGAACAATATATCGATTACATCAGTTCCAATGCTATTCTGTCCCCAAGGCTGTAATTCACAATATGTTCATTGCCATCTCAAACTATGTCCTGTCAGCTTGTCTAACATTATCAAAATTTCTAAAATGTGATCAAATACTTTAATAACTAAGAACCAAGATGTTCTCAATTTGATTTTGACCCTCTCCCAGTATTAATTTTCCAGAGAGAAATTAAAAGTTCAGAGATTAAATCACTCTAAATTATAGCCCAAAGTAATCACTACCAACTTCATGTTAAAGTCCAAAGTCATGAATGCCCAACACTGAACTCTTTTACGCTGTGAATTAAAGTTCAAACAGGCTTTGTCACTCCCTGGAAGTGAACTTAGCTCCAAACCTGAAATTTCCCTTCCCCCAGGGAGCTGACGCTGTTCGGCTTACCCCAAGCCTCCCTTGGCAGGAACAAGCTCTTTTAAAACTTGTGTGAGGTAGCAGAGGAGAAAGCACACTTTCCATGATCAGGATGGCTCCCAAGAGAAAGCGGAGAGGAAGAAGGTGGGCTATCCAGGAGCCAAACTTACATATCAGTAAACTCACTGGTGCCCTTGGAACAGAGCATCAAATAATATGTTCATGGCACTCCATGTTTCAAGAAACATGTGATATGGGGAAAAAAAATGTTTTTCCCTAAAATAGGGAAAAATTACAAGAAACAATCTCTCATATTTAAGAACTATTTATTGATTATCATGGTGCAAACTTCTGAGCTAGGTTCACTGGGAAATGCATAAGTGAGTCAAAGCTGGATGCTGCCTACCAACCAACCACTAATATTTCTAACACAATTATTATATATGTCAGTGACTCATATTTTAGATTTTTGTTATAGCCCCACCCTATTTCCAGTACCAATTTTTCTATTAGTGTGCAAAAGTTGATACCAAACAACTCCAAATAGCTAAGTGACTCAGGACAGCAGAGATGTATTTCTTATTCATATACCTATGTATGGGTTAGCAGGGAGCCATTTTCCACTTTGTCCTGTCTCCGAGACCCTGGCTGAAGGAAGCTCACACAATTTGAAACATCATTGGAGTAGTGATTAAAGATGGCCACATTTTCTTGGAACTCTGTGGTTGACAAAAATGTCTGTAATAAAGATGGCCACAAATTCTTTGTCACTCTCCCTCCACCCCTATCAAGTGTTTATTTCCTCTCCCCTTAAAATTGAGCTGGCCCTGTGACTGCTTTTACCAATACAACATGTCATTTCCAGACCTAAGACAAAACCTGGAAGTTTTTGCTTTTTTGCATTTGAGAATCCTAAGCCACCATGCATGAAGTCAGGCTACTCTGCTGAAGAAGCCATGCGAATCAGAGTCTTTGGAACCGCATGGGTAGAGCTCAGCTACTCTATCAACCCACTTGAGCCTCCAAAAACTCCAGCCCCAGACAATACCAGGCTGGAACCACGAGAGACCCTAAGTAAGATTAGACAACTGCCCATGAGCCTAGTCAACCCACAAAACCGTTACAGATAATAAAATGGTGACTGCCTTAAACCATTAAGATTTAAGGTGCTTTGTCATGGAACAATAGATAATTAAAATATTTCATCACTCTCGGCAGAAAGAGAGCAGGATAAATGTTCACAGGCTCTTAAAGCTTTTATTTGGAAATGACACAAGTCACTTCCAATCACATTTCATTGGCCACTCTTCAGGTAAAAGGAGTAGGGAAATCCAAATTACTATGTGTGTGGAAAAAGAAATAGAAATATTTTATGGCTAGTACTAATATCTTCCAGAGAAGAGATTACAAGTAAATCAGTAAATAGATGAAGTGTCAGGGGGAAAAAGCTAACAATAGGAGAAAAGAATGTAGATGACGCAGCACTTTGGGAGGCCGAGACGGGCGGATCACAAGGTCAGGAGATCGAGACCATCCTGGCTAACACAGTGAAACCCCGTCTCTACTAAAAAATACAAAAAATCTAGCCGGGTGAGGTGGCGGGCGCCTGTAGTCCCAGCTACTCGGGAGGCTGAGGGAGGAGAATGGCGAAAACCCGGGAGGCGGAGCTTGCAGTGAGCTGAGATCCGGCCACTGCACTCCAGCCTGGGTGACAGAGTGAGACTCCATCTCAAAAAAAAAAAAAAAAAAAAAAAGAATGTAGATGACGGATTCTTCAAGATATCCTCTAGGCAAGGTAGGATGTAAGAGGAAAAGGAGGGTAGAAAGAAGTCCCAAAAAAAAAAAAAAAAAAAAAAAAAAGCATCCACAGAGAAAAGTAGAGGGATCTAAAGCACAGTTTCAATAACAGAATAGTCAAGAAGAGCATAAAATGAAAGGCCAAAATGGGTGGTACAGACAAGGAACACATAGAAATTCAAGGAAGATAGGTTAATGTGAGCTGATAGAGGCCTCAGGTGGAGGTAGAATTAAAAGAATGGAAAGGCAATGGAATTTGTATCGTTGGAAATAAGAAGGGCATGCTCAGTGAGGAAACAGCATGAGTCAAGTCCTAGAGTGGGGAATGCACATAGCATATATGGGGCAAGGGACTAGGTATTGTAAGGGGAAATGTATCATTTAATAGAGGGTATCCAAGGGATTGTTTGCTGGAGAACGGGAAGGCAGGGAAGGGACTTACGGAGGCCCTTGAGTGCAAACTGAGCTTTCTGAGTTGTCTTCTTTAAATTACAGAGCACCCCTGGAGATTGGTGTCTGAGCAAAGGAAATCAGAACACAGGTCTAGTCTCTTCGTGTGGGAATGAAATAGGAAAAGACTGACAGCAAGTCACCAATCGGAAAGTTATTACAGTACTCAAAGCAGGAGTATCCTATTGGGACAAGAGCTTGTTACTTACAGTGGAAAATAAGAAGAACTCCCAATTAGTCCAGTTCAAGGGGCTTACAATGAGAATCAAAAAAGCTGGGGTTTCCTGGAGGCTTCAAGTGTGAAGAAGTCGAGACACTATTTTATCAAGGGTATAAAGGAAAACTTTTTACTTCACATGGCAGCCAATGTTGGTTAGCTACCCAACATTCCCCACCTCACTTCCTTGACAACAGAACTTTAATACTGTCCAATTCCTCTCTTCCCTCCAAACCAATTGGAAAAGAAACCTACACACACATAATTCAGCCCCAAGGTAAATCCTGAGGTTCTAAGCTAGTGGTTCTCAACCAGTAGCACACCTCTGGGGGGTGAGAAGGGAAAAGGGTTGCTTTATGGTGTCACAATGCCTGAGGTGTGCTACTGACATTTAGTTGGAAGGAATCAGAGATGGTAAATGTCCAGCAATGCTCAACACAGTCCTGAATAAGAACTAGAAAAGTCAGATAAACACTAGGCAATCATGGATGTCCCATGCTCCTTGTCTGTTACTGCTTTAGGGACAGCTAATAGCCCAGTTCTGGTCAATAAGATATAAGGAGTTGCCTGCTTCTGGGATGCTTTCTTCTTTCCTATCAATGTTGTTCCAACTGTATATGGCTGTTGGGACTGCTATAGCTATCTTCTCCTCAAAACCAGTTTCTTCTTATCTTCCTATTTCCTTCACTGGCACCTCCCATTTTCTGTTACTAAGTCCTAAAGCAATTTTGACTTCTCCTAACCCTTAACCTTAAGGTGATTATTCCTTTAGGTTTGCCTGGGGTAAACTGATTTAACTCCTGTTCTCTGGCTATAATTATTAATGCCCTACTTTACTTCCAAAAGTGTTCCATATTGAAGGATAGAGTATATGGTTATTCATTACCAATTGTGTCACTCCCCTCAAGTACCTCTAATGTAGGGCTCAGCAATATGGCTTATAAGTTGTTTCTGCACCTCTCCAGTACTAAAAAATAGAAGTTTTTACATATTTAAATGATTTTTTAAAAATCAAAAGAATATTTCATAACTGAAATTATATTAAAAGTTCAATGTCGGCCGGACGCGGTGGCTCAAGCCTGTAATCCCAGCACTTTGGGAGGCCGAGACGGGCTGATCACGAGGTCAGGAGATCGAGACCATCCTGGCTAACACAGTGAAACTCCGTCTCTACCAAAAAAAAAAAAAAAAAACTAGCCGGGCGAGGTGGCGGGCACCTGTAAGTCCCAGCTACTTGGGAGGCGGAGGCAGGAGAATGGCGTAAATCCAGGAGGCGGAGCTTGCAGTGAGCCGAGATCCGGCCACTGCACTCCAGCCTGGGCAACACAGCGAGATTCGTCTCAAAAATAAAAAGAAAAGTTCAATGTACATAGTTTTATTGGAACACTCATTCAAGTATTGTCTATGGCTGCTTTCTCGTTATAAGGTAGAGTTGAGTAGTTAAGGCAGAGACTTAAAACATAATCGGGCCCTTTACAAAAAATGTTTGCCAACCCCTGCTCTAATGTCTCCACTAGCTCTGAGTCTCCTCACCTCACACACAAATACCCTAGCCTACTGATTTCCCACTCTTTCCCCAGCCTCTAATCCTTCAGACATCTGGCTGCTATATAACCTCTCTACAAGAGTATCGACCCTGTCACTTGCCCCATCAGCATCCTCAGTGGCCCCTCCAAAACCGACAGTGAAAGGTTCAAACCTATCCTATGAGACTCAAGACAACAGACAAGGGCAAGAGAGAACACGTCAAACGAGTCGAGTGCGTGAGACTTCAGAGGTCACTTTTTCACACTAGAATTTTAAGGTGTGAGAGGCTAAAAGTCGTCCCAAGTACATAAAACAGAATCTGCAAATAAGAGTGAATGACGAATAGAAAGACGACCTCAACCTGTCCACTTCCCTACGGCCACAGAGATTATAATTCAAGGAATAACGAGACTCTAAATCCTTTAAAATTCTACAAGAGCAGCCTTGGCCAAACCCAGCGGGGAGTGGCTGCTCGGTGCCAGGGCGAGGAGCACGTAGACTGCCGATGCCAGAGAAGCCCAGTGCGGGCTCCGTGCTTTCTCTCCGTTCCAGGAAGACCCGAGCTCGTCGCCAAACTTCTCGCCGCTTCCCGGTCTGCGCGCCCAAGTTGCCGGTTTCCCGAAAAACGCCACGGCGCCCTGGGAAAAAGCAGACGCCCCTCATGGGTTTGCGCCTTGCAGCTCAACTATGCCCCAGCCTCCCACAAGCCACCTGTCCTCCGCCAGGCGTCCCGCCCGGATCTGCCCCCGCCGTAGCCGCCAAGGCGCACGTGAAGCTCCCGGGCGGAGCGAGCGCAAGTGGGCGGGAGTTTGCGAACGCGAACCCAGGCCTGGGAAGCGAAGCGATTCCGGGGCGCACGCGCAGAGCAAGGGGACTGGAGGGGCGTGCCTCCCGTAGGGGTTACGGAGAAGAGGAGAGCGCGTGGCGCTCAGGAGCCGGCGCACGCGCTGTGGTCTCGCCCCGCCCAAGAGCGTCCGCGCGGCCGTCGTAGCATCTTCTCTTCAGACCCGCCCCCATCGTCTACTTAACCTAGCGGAGGCTTGCAGCTAGAGCAGGGAAGTGTGGGGCGAGGTGGGCGGGGCGTCGCACGCGTGCGCGGCCAGCGAAAGAAGGGAGGCGGCGGGAGAGATCCGAGACAACGTTACCCCGTCAACACCCAATCAGGAGCGGCCCTGACCCCGCCCCCTCTCCTCACGTTATTGGCTGGGAGGCCCCCAGATGGGCGGGGCCGGCCGTGGGGTTGGGGAGGGCAGGGGGCGGGGAGGAGGAGGAAGGCGCTGGCGGGCAGTGATGGCGGCGGGTGATGGGGACGTGAAGCTAGGCACCCTGGGGAGTGGCAGCGAGAGCAGCAGCGACGGCGGCAGCGAGAGTCCGGGCGGCGCGGGAGCGGCAGCGGAAGGGGGCGGCTGGGCGGCGGCGGCGTTGGCGCTTCTGACGGGGGGCGGGGAGATGCTGCTGAACGTGGCGCTGGTGGCGCTGGTGCTGCTGGGGGCCTACCGGCTGTGGGTGCGCTGGGGGCGGCGGGGTCTGGGGACCGGGGCCGGGGCGGGCGAGGAGAGCCCCGCTGCCTCTCTGCCTCGCATGAAGAAGCGGGACTTCAGTTTGGAGCAGCTGCGCCAGTACGACGGGTCCCGCAACCCGCGCATCCTGCTCGCGGTCAATGGGAAAGTCTTCGACGTGACCAAAGGCAGCAAGTTCTACGGCCCGGGTGAGGAGTTGGAAGGGGAGGGGAAGGACCCCCTGCAGCTCAAGCACGACCCCCTTCGGACGGGGAGGCCTCTGGGCATCGGGTTAGTGTGCCCAGCCTTCTCGTCGCCTGGACCCCCGCGCCTCGGCCGCCGCACCTGGGACGGCCCGCCCCGCCCCTACGCACACACCGCCCCCCCGCAGCTGCGGGCACCTCCAGCTCTTCTCCCGAAACCAGGGTCCCCGCTGGCGCCCCAGCGACCAGCTCTCAGCATTCATCTTTCTTCCATGCCATTTCTCCTCGCAGCCTTTTTTTTTTTTTTTTTTTTTGGCTGGATTTTTCAAAATTGTTACATTTGTCACCGATCAACGCTGGCCCTTAACCTCTTTTGAGTCTCCTAATTCCTGGGGTGGTTGGGGCACCAGGGAAGGGAGATTTCTGAAGTTGGGACCTAAACTAAAGTTTTACGCTCTGTAATTCACAGCTTTCTTTTCCTTGCCCCCGCCCCACGCTCCTCTTTTTTTTTTTTTTTTTTTTTTTTTTTTTTTTCTTTATTTTGCTTTTTTAGTCTTATTTTCATATGATGGCCGCCTATATCACAGTTTTATGAATCGTTAAAAGTAAGGTTTAGAAGGGCCGGGCGTGGTGGCTCAAGCCTGTAATCCCAGCACTTTGGGAGGCCGAGACTCGCGGATCACGAGGTCAGGAGATCGAGACCATCCTGGCGATCACGGTGAAACCCCGTCTCTACTAAAAATACAAAAAACTAGCCGGGCGAGGTGGCGGCAAAAAAAAAAAAAAAAAAAAAAGTAAGGCTGTAAAGCCAGACCGCTACAGGGCACAGAAACAGAATGGCAAGCTGGCTTCCTTAGAGCGAGCCTAAACTCAAT